TTTTTTATGAGAAATAATATTTTTTAATAATCCCTTTTTCATTCGACATACTTTATCTTAATCAGGATATTAATAAGGAACTAGCAGATTATGTAGCTTTTTATAAACACCTTATGTATTTCCTTTTCATTTTATATCAATTTTATGATAATCTAACTCTTTACCTTCCCACAAAGGAAGGATTCAAAATAACTACCTTTTTACAAAACTCAACTTTTCAAATTAACTGTTAAAAATGTTCCAGGAATACTACGTTATTTAAATACATGTTAAAATAAAGCTTAATTTATGTACTAGAAATTCAAAAAAAAAATTTGGAACGACTACTTATTTTTTATGTGCAAATGGTAGTCAATGTAGAACAAATATAGGAGTTTAATTTTCTTTTGAAATAATCTTGCACGCCCAAAAAAAAACTGAAATGACGCCCCCAGGATAATGTACCCAAAAATTACTGCGACGTCTACGAGCAATTTTCGATAGTTAAGAGCCTTGTCATTGGAATCGTCAGAATTATCAAAAAGTAAATTATACTAATTTAAAAACCAAAATCAAAGAACAATCAAAAAAATTTATTTAGAATAAAAATCAAAAAATAAAAATTTATTATACAAAAAAATTGATTGGAATAGGACAATAAAGTATATTTAGTATATTAAACAAAATAAATCTGTCTATGTTCAGTGTTACGTTTCTGTAATAAACGTCAATAAAAGTGCTGACCTAATGATTATTTATAGTACTAGAAATCAAAATTAATCAAATTTTAAATTTAATAAGTAAGGTAATTATTGTTCCAGCGTCTAAAATTTCTTAACAAATTTTCGATTCAGATGGAATTTTTTGATTTACAGAATAAATTATATTTCCCGATTCTGAACTTTTTTGATTTTACAGACGAATTAAACAATAAATAGAAATATATAGATAATATTTAACAACGACATATTGATAAATATGATCAAATGGTGGCGAATTATGATTTGCTCATAGAAGCTCAACTTAAAAGTAATGAACAAGGAATAAATTTATTTCAAGAGTAGATTAGATAGGTCTATTTTATGATAATATGTTATGAATTTTAACTAAATATACAAAAAATATAAACATATTTCATGTACTACCATGTATAAAATATGTACATCAACGTTTCGACAATAATTAAATTGTCAAATTTATAAAAAAAAATGATTTTTGAGAAAATTATAATATATTCAAGAGCTGGGATATGCTAAATTAAAACCCAAACAACTAATAAATTATCTATTGAATTATTAGATTAAAATTTGTTTATTAAATAAATTAAAAACGTTACAAAGATCAACAATTGTAAAACAATTTAAGGATTATTTTTTATTGATTTATCCATAAATTTTCTGAAATATAAATTAAAGATATTGATAAAAAAGATAAATTTATCTATAAATAAAATTATAAATATCTCAAACCACTTACTTAATTTTATTTCCTAAATCTTTGTCTTTGTAAATAAAAAAATGAGAATATTTCAATTTAGAATCATATGAAATTAATTCTGTGGTAGAATTCACTCTATATTTTGAAAGGTGATCAAACAACTATAATAGATAATTCAAGATAAAATTTTATCAGTAAAACAAGTTAGATACAATAATGCAGTATTAAAATCATAACTGCTTAAAAATAGGACCATGCCATTTTATTTTTTAAAAATATAAAAAATAGTTTGTAACAAAAAAAAATAGTAATTATTTATTGTTCAGTCACATAGATATCAAACATTAATGTAATTAAAATAGTTTTGCAATCTTAATTTATTTATTACAAAAAATACAATAAAAATAGAAAAACTATTATTTAATTACTTTATATACAATGGCAATAATATATGCAATAAATTTTAAGGCTTTAAAAGAAAACATTAGGAATTTTTTAATTTGAAAAACTACAGGTTCTATTTGACCTGTATTTTTATTTGGGTTACAGATTTTACTATTGAGTGATATATCAATTTTGTTAAATGCTGAATGTAGTCAAGCTAATGATAAACTTTTTAAGGCGATATTTTTAGTTATTATAACTGGCCATCAAAATATTTAAATTAAAACAACTTTGTTTTATAAGAAAAATAAAAGCAGAATATAATTTGGACAATCACAAATTTGAAATGTAATAAATTAGTTAATTTTAATTATTATGTACAATAAAATAATTACTTTTTTTCCAAGCTTGTAAGGGACTATTATGTCATCATGAGCATGTAAAATTAATATAGGCATTTTAGTATATTTTAAGTTTTCTTCGGTATTGAAAACAAAACCATTTTCTGCAATTGGATAAACAAAAAAATATCCAAACCAAGGTAAAAAGTTATATAACTGTAAAATTAACAAAAAAATTAATATGGTATGTGAATATCTTTATATATTAGTCTTTAGGCTAAAAAAAATTAATCTATTCCTTTCATAAATAATATTGAGAGTAAACGTGCATGTTTTACTTTAGCAAGTGGAAATTCTTCAATTGCTTCACTTAATTTGGAAAATGGTGCATCTAATATAAGTCCTCCTGAAATAAGATTATCTTTTTCTAATAAAGCAAAAGCATGTGCACCTATTCTATAAAAAAAATATTGTTAAATAAAATTAATATATCGAAATATTGATTAAATTACGCTGTGCCTAATGAATGACCATAACCAAAAATTGAGGATTTATTTGCTCGGTTGTAAACCCATTTGTATAGATGAACAACATCCATGACTAAGCCAAGTTCATTTGGTGTAATATCGCTGGAATCTGCATAGCCTAAGAATAAAATATTAAAATATAGTAGTATAATAAGAAACACAAATAATGCATATAATATTTATCAAAATAATTAATTCAAATTTAAATAACTTAGCCCACAAATTATAACTCAAAACAACTTCAAAAATGAAACAAAAGAGCCAAATTATATATGTAAAAAATTAATTAACTTAATTTATGAATTTTATACATACTTCTGTAATCTAAAGCAATCACATGACAATTAATATTCTGTAAAACACTATACAATTGACCACGATAAAAATTTGCTCGATTATCTGCATTCCCATGCATATATATAACAATTGATTCTCCATGACCTAACAGTAGTTCATAATTTTCAAAATCATCCTCGTAATTTTTCAATAAATTATTTGGTAAAACATGCCTACATTAATTAAATTAATTTTAGTAGGTTTTTACAAGACAGAAATTTGACTAAAAGCTTGATAAAAATTTCTTTTTTTTTTCTGTTTTAAATACATTAAAATATTGAAAAAATAATACATAAACAGAATGTTTTTTTTTATTATAACCCAGTCAATTGCTTACAAAATTAAAATAATTAAAAATTTTTTTTTTTTAGTTTCATATTATTTTAATATTATTAACCAAGTAATATTTTTTAAGTTTATCCCTTATAAAGGTGTTTTTTCAAATGGAAACACATATTTTGAATTTAATAAAATGTTTGAGTTTTTAATTTAATTGTAAATTGCACTTGAATTTTTATAAAAATTTATTTTTATATTAGATATAAAACTTTAAAGTTCCAAATTTTTAGATTAATACACATGTATAATACACAAATATTTTGATTACAAATACTGGTAGCTAATGGTTTTTTATGATGTTGCTATTATTAATAGATATATTTTCTGTATTGTCAGTTTGTGTATTTATAAACTCACAATAATGTGCCTTACTACTATTGATAATAAATGCTACGTATCTGCGAATATTAATAGAACGTATTAAGTTTTCGTCTATTTAATAATATTAAATTTTTCATTTATAAGTTGGCTTGTTTAAGTTTATAAGGTTAAAATACAGTACTTTAGAGTTCAAAATGAGCAAAAATTTCATTAGTAATTTATTTTTGGAAATGAATTATTTATAAAACTGATTTATTTATGTGAATCTATTAAGAATGTAAATTATTTACCATTTTTATAATTAAAAATGTATCTGGTTAATTATCATAAGAACAGAAATTACTAAAAGTCAATGACTAGTTGTAATACTTGAGTGTGAAAGCTTTAGTGCAACTTTTGATCCATACAGATTTTTATTTTTAAATTTACGACCATATGTTTTAAATTAACTAGTAATAATTTTGAATATAGACCATTATATACTTATTACACCCAAAATCACATCTTGAATAAAAACTTTGGAAGGTTATATTCATAAATTCTTGCTCTAAAAATATTTCATATAACAATAAATATAAATTTCCAAAACCCCTTTCTTTATTACAATGATACTGTACACATAATTATAGTACAAGAAACAAATATTGATAGCTTTGAAGCTTTTTTTTTGGTAAGAAGCTTAATTATTTAATATTTTTAGAAGAACTTAAAACTTATACAACCCGGTGAATATAATTCAACTCATTGTTCAATGAGATGATATATGAATAAGCTATCCATTTTATTTATATCTTACCAAACTCCTAATGTTACATTGTCCATGGTTGTAAAATAGAAATTTTTAGTTCCTTTAAGTCCAATCTGGTGTGGATGACTTAGCTTTTCTTTAGGTGTAACAGTTACTGAAATTTTATAGAAAAAATGACATAAGTTAAAACACATACATAAGAAATGTATATTACATTATTTGCTATCAATATTTGTATTTAATATCACTCCACCAACAATGATTGTCCAGTACACAAATTGGGTATGGATTCCACAAAAAAATTTTTCCTTGCAACATCAAAATAATTTTATAGACTTTTATTTTACCCATTACAATTTGGGGTGATAGACACAATAAAAATATATCACACTAATAAAGCAGCATACACAACATCCAAACTAATTAATGCAAATTATTATATACTTATACAATCATACATAATAATTATTTTAAACCTTATATTATTATTAAGATTATTTTTTTGTTTAATGCTATTAATTAAATTATCTTTAATATTACAATTATTTTAAATAAAACATAAAATTCTTAAAAGTAGCAATTTTTGGAGGCTTCAATAATTTTAAAGTGGCTTTACTGTGGACATTGATTGTTTTCCTCTTGCAGTGTTTAACATTCTTTCTTTCAAGCTATTACTTGTATTAGAGAGAATGGTAAACCTGCATAGTCCAGTGTGATGAAATCAAATATCATATTCTACACATCAAAATATGAAGACCACCAATACAAAAATTATAATATTTCAAGAGAATTTTAGACTGAACGAAGAGTTTCTCTTATTTTGTGATACACACATTTAAGACAATAAATAATATTTACCATTTATAATTTTTAAAATTTAATTGAAAAAATTACCATCATTTGCAAGAATCATTTCTCTTTGAAAAGATGGAGAGTACCGAAATACAAATGGTATTATAATATATATAATTATCAATATTAGACCAATTACACTTGATATTACACAACACGTCCTAAAAAAATAATGTATTAATAAATTGTTTAATATTAGCACATTAAATTTAGTATCATTTAGTAACAAAAGTATGGTGAAAAATAATAAGTAGTAGAAGGAGATTTTAAATAATGACCAGTAATATGGTAATAAAAATTTCATTAACAATATTAAATTACTTTTTTTTGGTAATTAAATTATAATACTAACTACTTAAAAAATAAGAAATTAAACAACTAAAAAAGTACTTAATATAACAAGTAATTAAGAAAGTTACATTACTTTTATGTTAAAAAATAACTTAATTATAATGGAAATTACTTTTTTCATTTATATGAAATTTATTTAAATTATTAAACTTACACCACTAATAATTCTCAATTAACTCAAGGGCATATTTAGAAATTCGTAATGATAGAATGAGGCACAAAAAGATTAACTAACAAGCTACTACAAAAACTTTTTATGGCCATTTTTTACTCATTTTCAGATGATGAAGAGCAAAAAGTTTTTATATTTCTCCGTCAATGGAAGGGACATGACTTGTTCTTTCTAAATATGCCATTGATATAACTAGATTCTTTAAATAAATTTTGAAATAAAATTATAAAAATAAAATTATTAATAATATAAAATATATTATAATAAATTGAATAGTATCATTTAAGTTTTGATAATTATATTTAGGCGTATTTACAAGGAAATTGTATTAAAAAAAACCCTTCTCAATCACAATAGCATTTTTTTAAATTATGTTATAACTTTTAATTTTATATTAATGTTATAAAAATGTTTTTATAACAGAATTCTTTTAAATTGTTATCTGGAAAGAGGAAAAGATTTTAAAATACCATTATTTTGAAAACATTTTTTAACGTTAAGCTCCTACTTAAAGGCAGTGTAAACATTTAACATAAACTGCTTAAAATAAAGTAATTTTTTAAATTACCCTTGAATAATTAATTTAAATTAAAATTAAATTACTTTTTATATTAATAATCAGAACTAAAATTACTTTATAAGTAGTTTCATTACTGTAACATGTAATTCAAATTAAGTTACTACCCAACACTGTTTATTAGTTGTTAGGGGCAAATCTAGAAGTTTTGTTCCGTTTGGATAGCAACATTATTAAGTTTTTTGACCTGGCAAACCTTTTTTGGCTCATAACTCTTTATGATACAATCAACATATCCTATAGAGATTCTGTAGCACTCTAACACCCTTTATTACATTCTTTTAAAGAAATATTTGTCATTTGGTTGATTTTTAAAAATTTATATACATTAAGGTATATATTACTTTTAGTTCAGAAAAAAATTCTTAATGGTTATTTAAGTACAAAATATTTTATTTCAATGACTTTATTAATATAAATGTTATTACAATAAAGTTAATTTTAATTTTAAAAAGTATTAAAATTATAATTGTTGCATTTAGAATTGTTGTTAATAATACATGGTATTATCACAGAATAAACGAATTATCTATTCTGTAATTTTATAGTAAAACATCAACAATACAAATTCAACTTCAGGAAAAAAATCAATAGTAAATTTGGAAATAAGCATAATGAGGACTTTTCATAAGTTTCATTTACTTGTTAATTTTTTGAATAGTTGATTTAATTCTTATTTAATTTATCATTTATTTTAATTCTAATCTTCATTGATAACTATACTGACCGTTTTACACAGCTATTACATGACATCTTCAAAAAAAAGATTTAGTTTAAATTGACAATATCACGTTTCTGGTTAATTTGAATATTATCAATTTATTTAAAGTTATACATATATTGCTCACTCATTATTTAATATTAACATTCACTGTAAAAATTAACCAATAATTCTTAGTTGTAAAAAATTATGTTATTTAAAATGATTATATATTAATTGAAAATGTTCGTATTTAGATGTGATTATTAAGTATTAAATAGACAGAAAAAAAACTATTGAAGTGGAGGAAAAATTTTGTCGCCTTTGAACTTATTAAAGGATTATCTAGTATTTTTTTATTTTTCATTATAATAAAGTTATTTCAGCTTTAATAATCGCTATATCACCTACAGCCAGTATATTCTAGCTATTGATTTTCATATTAATTAAACAAGCACAGCCGGCATAACACATATTTCAGTGGATTTCAATAAATTATGTACACTTAAGAAAATAGTCAATCGATTTCTTATCAATTTTTTGCTTAAATAAAAAATTAGTTTTTAATGGTTCATGGAATAAATTAAATATTTCGAAAACAACGATGAATAACGAAAAATTAATCTTTGTTGAAATATTTATATTTCACAAGCCAATAGGAACTTAATTAAATTTCTATAACAAAACATATTAGTTTTTTTTATTTTAAAATAAATGGACCATGATTTTAAACACAAATTATATTGTGTATGATATTTATTTTTAATTTTGGGGGTTTAGGCATTTAATACCTAAAATCAAAAAAAATTAATAAGCTGGAGGATTTTATAAAACATATATCATAGAGCCTCTCGCTTCTTAAACATAGTCGTAATAATTGGAAGTATTTCCTTTTTTTATAAATACAACAGAATTTTTTCGGTATTTCTATGTCTCTAATAACTCACTTAAGTTTATATCATTAAGTATATATTTAAGTTCTAATACATGACTAAATTAAAATAGAAATTCAGTAAAATAAAACAAAATTTTTTTTAAAAAAAAGTTTAATTAAAAAAAAAAAATGAAATTATAGTATAAGTTACATAGCAAATATTACACGAATTAGGTAGTTTTACATACATTTTTAAAGATACTAATTATAAGTAAAAAAATAGTACATACGACATGATTTCAACAGTTGTTAAAATTGTACAAGTCAAAATATATCAAAAACTAAATTTTAAAAAACTTCTTTTTTTCTATACTAATTTACAACATTTTAGTTAAACTACAAACATAAATATGTTTACTAGATAATTAAAAATATGTGTAGTTTTATCATTTGAGAGTACATACATCAGTCAAATCAAATGATAAATTCACTTTTCTTCACACCATTCATTTTCTTTGCGAACTTGTTCCTCTTCGGCAGCTGTAAAGTCATTCTTAATATTAAATGTTTTCCTTATTTCTTCTGGTGTTTTTCCTTTAATCATGTTGGCAACAGTTTTACAAGTTACATCCAGCAACCCCTTAATATCTAGATAGTTGGCAGCCAATATAAGTTCAAAGAGAGTACCCTGATCAACTTTCAAAAAATCAGCATCCCAACTGGTTATATCATCAGTTCGCTTTTCCCGACCCTCATCATCTTCAACTGATGGTGGATCGTCTTTATGATAAGTTGCCCATTGAATGACTTTTTTTAGTATTCCAGCGTTAACATTAGGTAATGGTACAATTTCTTCATCTTCTTCTTCCAAACCCAAATCCTCCACCATGGTTTTGATAGTAACTGATGCTTTAGCTATCTCAAAATCAACTTGAAAAACCTCACCATCAGAACTTTGTAATTTTATCATAGGCATTGTCACAATTTGAAATTATTTCAATTAAGAGTATAAAATAATTAGCCCGTAAAACGTAGCTTAAACGAAATTATATTTTTCTTATTCAATTAATGTTAACTTGACATTTTCCGAATATATGCTGATTACTAAATGAAATCATTGACAATGCAAGAACGGACCGAGTTTGAGGTTTTATCACACACGAACTAACATTTTAACAAGGGGTCCATTTATTGCATAATCAAATTTATGATAACGCCTCTTGTAGAGTGAGGGAGCGCTATGATAAGCGTCTATCTTTCTTCTTCATTTTTGTACGCGATCCCTTGTATTGTTAGTGTAGGAATAGCCAATGTTCCTTTCTACTTTCTATGAATGAAATACTATCATTGGAATAGCGTTATATTCAGGGGCGTCATTTGGTGGAGGTGGGGTATGGGTGTGCGGTTGCATCCTTACTAAAAAAGTCCCAATTGGTCGGCAAAAATAATGCACCAATTTTTTATACATCAATTTGCACAGTTTCACTATGCGAGAACTAATAGTTCAGCTATTATTATCAATATCTTTGCTTCTTATTTATAAAACCCACTTCTTGAAAATTTAAAACAGATTAATCTGCTAACAGATGCTTCAAATCATGGTGACAAAAAAATATTTCTAGTGTTTGTACGTTATTTTGACCCATACATTGGTAAATTAGTTAAATTGCTTGAGCTTGAATCTCAGCCTGGAGAAACGTCTGATACTCTTGTTAAATATTTGATAAATATTCTTACCAAATTTAATTTAAAAAATAAACTTTCAGCATTTTGAGGTGATAACACTAATTGCAATTTTGGAGGATCTGCTTGAAGAGGAACAAATAATATTTTCCATAAATTACAGAGTTAGGACGTAAACAGGCCCGTATTTATAAAAATTGCCCCCCCCCCCCAAAAAAAAAAAGAAAATTTTTTACTTTATTGGTATTACACAATTGTAGTAGAAAATAGGTACATTAATATAAAATAAAACTCAGTAATAACTAATAACCAATATATTATTTAAAACATTCTTCAAAATAATAAAACAACTTCAAAAATAAAAATATTCAATTGTAATTTCATAACTTTTCTTAAACTTTTCTGCGAGATTGTTTTGATGCAAATGATTTAATAATATCATCGTAGTCAATCATTTTGGTTATGGATGACTCAATGTTTAATATGGCTAAACTGTTCAATCTTTCTGATGACATGGTTGATCTTAAATATGATTTAATTCTCCGTAAAGTGGAAAATGATCTTTCCGTTGAACAATTAGAAGCAGGAGTACATAGAAACATTCGGAGAGCAACATAAACATAAGGAAAAATAGCTTCTATATTTTTTTCTTTAATAAATTTACACATATTAATGATATTTGTTGGAGGGTTTTTAATAGTTTTAAGTAAGCTCTGAAAATGAACACACTCGTTTTCAAATGTTTCATCCAAATCATTTTTGTATATTTTTCTTAATTTTTTTGCACCATCACGAACTTCTGAGGTTTTTTGTTCACTAATATTTAAGAAAAATAAGTATTTAGATATTATATCATCATAAGAAATTTTTCTTTTTTTTAGTTCTTCTATTAAATTATCACAAATAATGTAAATGGTATTAATTTTAAAATTTTCGCGTCCGTTGAAAATAGCATCTGGTTCAGTAGATTCATCATTACGTTTCTTACGTTTTCTATTTTTGTGTTCATAGTCAGGAATTAAGTCATCATTGTCAAACATAGCTTTTGCCAACTTTTCATAATCATTAAACATTGATCGTAAAGTTTGAACGTATTGAATTAACGAATTATACAAACTAACTACAGTGCTTATATCAATATCAACAGATTGTAATAGAAGACTAGTTTTGTTAAATGTATGTAAAATATCACTCCAAAATACAGTCATGTATGCTGTTTCTAATTTATTCATTTGTCTAATTAAACCTCTGGCTTCAGACCGTACAAATGGTTTTTCATAATCATCATTTATTAGTTCTTCTAATACTTGTTTTATAGAATTCCAGTTTTTTTTTAAGCTATGGCAAGCGTCTTCTCTTGCTGACCATCGTGTAGTGGATAAACTTTTTACAGTTGAGATAGAATATTGACTTAATTTATGCCATCGATGTGTGGATGAAGAAAAAAATACAAATATATTTTGAATAAAAAGAAAAAAATCATTTGCTTCTTTACAGCAATTTGCAGCACACGATCCGACTAAGTTTAAAGAATGTGCCGAACATGGTACAAAATCAGCTAATGGTGAAACTTGCTTTATTCTTGCTTGAACTCCTGAATAAATACCAGACATATTTTTAGCATTGTCATAAGATTGACCTCTCAAATAACAAACATCTAAATTATATTTTTTTAAAACTGATAAAACTGATTCTGCTAGATTTTCTGATTTATGTCCAACATTTTCTAAAAAACCAATAAATCTTTCAATTGGCTCACCGTTTGATAGCACATACCTGATAACGAAAGACAGTTGATCAGAGTGTGATATATCTGGAGTGGAATCTATGCTGATAGAAAAATATTTCGATAATTTAATTTCATCAACTATGGTATTAATGACTTTTTCAGACATGATTTTAACGAACTGTTCATAAGTAGAAAATGATAAGTAGGAAGTATTACCTTTGCCAGGGTTACCATACTTAGATATGTGTTCTGATAGAAGTGGGTCGTACTCTGCAAGTAATTCCATCATCATAATAAAATTTCCAGTATTTGAAGTAGATGATCCAAATTTTTCTACATCACCTCTAAATGATAATCCATGACTTGCCAAACTTTTAATAACCGAACAAACCCTGGTCAGTACACTAATCCAATATTTTTTTTCGGTTTCTATTTGATGTATTAGTTTTGAATTTATTTTACTTAAATCTGATGCAAGTTCTTTCATTTTATAAGAACATAGTTTGTGTTCAGGTGAATTTTCATGGTAAGAAATTTTTTTAGGGTGTTTCCAATCTGAAAATCCTTTTTTTGAAAAATTAGTTTTATTCTCAAATAAGAGACATGGAACACAATAAATTGACCCAGTACTCTCAGAATAAGATAAATAATTTCTTTGACATGTTTCACCATTGATTAAAACAGTTTTGAAAAAATCTATATTCAGATATCTAAAATAGTTACGGAAATGCCGTTTCTTTACAACTCTGTACAATCTTTTTGAAGCTGTAAATTTAACATCTAGATTTTGGCTAAATCCATTTTTACAGATATATTGCCTCGTTTGTTCATTTATACTCCACAATGCTGGATCCAATCTTAAATAAAAATAAAAATGAAAATTACTTATTAATTTAGAAATAGTTACAATAAGAATAACATATAAATGCATTTAATATATTAGAATATTTAACCTAATAAATTTTTACTTATTTTACCTATTATTATTATTTTGTATTTTGTATAAAATTAATTCTAATAAAATAATTAAAAATGTCTAATGAAGATAATCGTCAAAAACTAAGTAAAGTAAGAATTTATTTAAAAAATATAATTTTAATTACAGTGTTTTAACTTTACCCAGGTATATCAGTAGAATTTGGTTCTAATAAAATATTTATATGCTCTGACACGCATGGAGGTTCTGTATCCAAATTATTACAAAGAGTTGTAAGGCCAGCTTGACGTTGTTCAGTAGATTTATTAACCATACCTGACTCTGAGTAGAAATATATAATGATATAATCAAAAATTATAAAAATACTAGTTGTGTTTAACCATAGTTTAAATACAACACATTTTTTTATTCGATATATCTGAATACCTGATTTATATAATAATGAAATAACTAAAAACTACCTAATAAGAAAATTCATATAATTTGGAGTATAATATTTAACTTTTAAGCAATTGTTATATTTAATTATTTAAATTTCCGCAATAATATAATAATTAAGATTGGTTTGGTGTAATAATATTTGATTTCTTAAAAAAAAAAAATTAAACTTATTATGTGTTTATATAAATTTCATATTATTATTAGTTTACTTTACAGTGAACATAAATAAAATACTTACTTTTGAACATCGTGTCGATTTTAATAGTTTTTTGAACAACTTTATTCAAATTAAATTCTTTGAGCTTAGCTATTTTCTTGTATTCAGCCCCACTAAGCCTATTTCTTCTTGGAGCCATAACTAAGTAAAATAGGTATAAAACATTATTACAAATATAAAATGTACCGACCTATTCAAAATGTAAATTCGTGACTTATATGAGAAAAATTATATCGTAACTAATATTCCGCAACTCTTAAGAACAATAATTGTTTTTTTTCTAACTATTAGAATTAAAGCACAATTAACATTTTGTAAATAATTAATCATAATAGTCTTTACTACAATATAAATATTAAATACCATATAATACTATTGGTTTTATAATATTTTAAAATCAATGATAAATTATAATACTTACTGTTTTGAATATACACGCGTAGTATAAATGTATAATATTAATTAATAGTTAAAATAGATTGATTAACAGACCACGACACCACGTCAGTACTCGTTCATGAATAATGCACTAATAATTGTATTTTGATTTTTGTTATCGATAATATTATAATAAATAATAATACTTAATAGTAGTGTAAATTGTCAATAATCGGCAGTCGTAGTTTCGTAGCTCCTTATATCATGGGAATACCCCAATTGTATATTTTCTATTTTTAGTATGTATTTTTCATAGTCTACGATTCGTAGAACTAAATACGAATCATATGTTTACAACATCAATATGCCCAAAGCATTTTATTGACATTCGAGTTGATAACGAATAAAAACTTTATCAGAACTTTATTAGGTACATTCTACATTCAAAATCTATTTTGGTATAATTATATTATTATAGTTATTTTTTTATTATACTAATTATATATTATATTTTTGTATTATACCATTGATTATAGATAGTATATAATATCTATAATCTCTATCTATAATCAATGATTATACTCATTAGGTAAAATGAGCTACAAATAAATTTTACATTTTTGACCATTTCAATATTTTGCCGCCCCTAAACCTAATTTTAATATTGCCGCCAGGGGAAATTGCCCCTCCGAGCCCTCCCTTAAATACGGGCCTGGACGTAAATTAATTAGAATTAGTTGTGCTGCACATATTGTTCATAATACTATCAAGATGACTGTCGATTGCTTACGTATTGATATTGAACCCTAGTTATAAAAAAATATTCTTATTTCTATATTTATATTTGTACTGTTCGTGTAGAAAGCCTAAAGGAATTTTGTGAGTTTGTAAATATTGAATATAAATCAATATTAGACTACAGTAAAACAAGGTGGCTAGCATTTATACTAGCTATTGAGAGAATACTTCAAATGTATCCAGATTTAAAGTCCTACTTTCTAAGTCAAATAAATTGTCCAGTTTTATTAAAAGATTTTTTTAATAATCCATCTTCTGAAGTGTGGTTATATTTGATTTATTCTCAATCATACATATTTCATCAAATTAAAAAATAGAAGGAACTAAAGTTTCTGCTATAGAAGTTTTCCAAAATTTAAATGAACTAAAAAATAATTCGTATCAGAAATGTCAACATACTTTTATTCCTGTGTCAGTAAATACATTATTAAAAAAGCCAGCACAGTGGGGTCGTGGCATAGTTGGGTCGAGTATAGATGATATCTGACAGTGATTAAAATCACTATCATAAAAAACGCTTCGATGCAAATCTGTAGATAGTGTTTAATCTAAAAAAAAAAATTTACCAAAAAGTAGGTCAAGTGAGAGCTAAGAAAATAAATGATAGCTACAAAAAAAAACCACATAGTAAAATTATATTAATATGAATTTCTTCTCACGAGAAGAGACTACAGTAATGGTATCCATGATATTTATTGAAGTTATTGAATCTAAATGAAATACAAATCAAATGAGTTAAACATTTTTTTCTAACTCAAAAAAAATTAAGAAAAAATTCAGTGCCACAGTGTTACCGTCTCAGAAATCATACATCGCATTCGTCACTTCATAAAAATGGAAATTTAGCTAGTTCAAATTTTAAAGTTATATTTCTTGACTTCAAAGAAACAAAATAATTTAAATATGTTTAACTTTTTAAATTATGTCAATTAGATTGATATAATATTTATGAAAATCAGTGTAATCCCTTTATAATAAAATAAAATACAAAACCAAGAATTTTAACACAAAAATAGCATATTTTTGAATACGGTAACTATTTTCACCATGAAGACAAAATAAAGTCCGAAATTTTTTTTTTTTTAATTAAAGTATAGTATATAAGCTTTAATTTAAGATATATATAAAAATGTGCGACCTTCCGGAACATTTTCAAAAATTAAGTTGAAAAAGTAAATTTTTTGTGAAAAAGTTATCATTTCAAATCCCCCCCTGTGGGCAGGTTAAGTGTCAGATTTACAAAAAATATATACCAAATGATAAGTAAAGATCTATATAAAAAAAATTATATTAATATGTTCATTTTTGAAAAATTTACGGCAGTTCTTAGTTGAAAAAATTTCGAAAATTAGCGATTTTTAAATTTGTAATTTTTTTGGAGGTTTCCCCCATTTACGGGGAACGAGGGAAATTTTTTCAATTTTTGAGGGTAATGTCTTCGACTAGATACGATTTGTGATCTTTTGACGTACGTTGAAAGAAATCCGTTCTACTCGCTTTGCTTTATAAATTGGTGTCTATAAGTTGCCCAATTATTCTCATTACAGTAATTAAGCGTATTTTACTACTGAAGCGCGTACACTCTTAAATGCATGACATCTTTAGAAGTTTCTATGAGCGTAATCGCGCTATATGACAAATTATTTTGGTTTTCCTGGAATATTCCTTAGTTAAGTAATTTTTAGTATACTTTATTAAACTTATTGGTATTAATAATAATTATTATATATTGTAAAACAATTCTATAGATCTATTTTGTCGTTCATCTATAATACTAAAATGAATATTTGCAACTAATCTTTGCGGTCTCCTCAAAATATGATTAAGTGATTACGGGAATGACTAAAAGTAACGAGTGTAGTCAAATATTTTTCTTGGGACTGGCCCTTTTTTTTACAAATAAAGAGTTAACTAGATTGTCTCATAAGTTAATCATGCTGATTTTATAATTAAGAAAAATCAAGTTATCAAAAGTAACGATAAAAAATGTATGACTTCTGATTGAGATCACAAACTGATGATTGAATGCCTACTTCGAAACGCCTTGATTTTATATACGAATAACTTGTAGAATTAAATAAATAGATTTTTCATTAATTGAATATTAATCTTTCAAATAGTCCATTATGTATGATTAAACATCAAATTGAAATACGATTTATTCTTAATAGTTAATATCAAATAAAGATAACAGGTACAGTCAACATTAATACAAATAAATGTTTAACAATTATTAAAATTAATTTCTACTAAGCATTAATCATTAAAATGAATAACGCCTTTTTTTACTTCACACAAATTAGGTAAATGATACTTTTACATAGTAGGTAAATATTATAGGCAATTATAATTAATATAATAAAATATATTTTTCTAAAAAAAAGTATTCTCATGAAAAAATAAAACAAATAAATAAAATAACGAAATAATAATGATGAAGGAAAATAACCTTTTCAAGTATAATTCAAACTATAACAATAAAAATGATGGCAACAACATAACATCATTGGGTGAATAGAGAAACAAAAACCAAAGTTTTAGTCACAATTAAATTAATAAACATAATAAATTGTATGCAATATTTAAATAACTTGCATGTTAAATTTTAAGTTATTGTACCATCATTTTAAATAATAACATAAATTAAAAAAAAAGAAGAAAACAAAAAAAGGTGGCTTATATGTAACGAGTTCAATTTCTAACAGGTATGTTAAAAAATAACATTTGTATCTAATAATGTATAATAGTAATTATAATATAAATATTTATATAATAACTTGAAATAATCCCTAGAATCCCAATAATAATTATAAATATATAGATATTTTTTTGGTAGTTTACTTTTTAACTTTGTCATAATGATATAAGGTTATAATTAGTAATTGTTTATAGGTTAAATGATTAGAATCAAAAACCACACAAAATTGAACAAATTAACAACATGTAAAGAACTTTTAAAAAAAGAAGAATTTTAAAGTGATGATGTTATTGATGTTTTCTTTTTGAGTGGGGGTCTACCTCGCTTGGACACAGCAGCACGTTTCACAGCTAAACACGTCATACAATACCAAACAGCACAATCAGGAGGACACTGAATACCAACACAAACCCTAAAATTGAAATAGTTGGTACAAAATTTAGATTGAGATATAAAGAAGTTTGTACAGATATCGTATAGGTGTCTCACCAGTTTCTGATATCTTTAATAACTTTTATTCAAACAAATATTTTATGTTGTTTTTTTAAAAATAATTTGTATAGTATTAGACTATATTAAAAACATTTGAATATTTTATTACTTGTCACTAATAATAAAAAATATGTTTTAATATAGTTAAAATTGTAAAAATTAATAATAATAAAAAAAAAAGTAGTTCAAAATATTTGTTGGATAACAATTTATTTAAGACCTGATAGGGCACTTGTATTTGTATACTTACCAGTGATACCATGCATCACATCCATCACAGCCAATCATTGGACTGCCATCATCTCGCTTAGTGCACGAAGGACACACCCAAACTTGATTACCAGCTTCATCCTGTGAAAGAAAAAAATTTTAATTTCCTTATACCTTATAAGAGTGTGAACTTTCTTTTTTCAAATGGAAACATACACATTTAATTTGCTTATTTATTAGATAATGATCTAATAAAGACTGGTCAATAATAACTTTTGGACTGGAATTTCAGAAGTTATTAACAATATAAAGTAAGATTAGAGATGAGGAGTAGCTGCTGCTATTTTTATCACTAGATATTTTTTGTGTTCATTCCTCTTCTCTTCTAACTATAAAAATATTAATGCATCTGAAATATTGGTCAAAAGTTATTTTGACCAGTAATTCCATAATTAAATCATTATCTCATAATTAAGCTAGTCAATTATATATATTCCCAATTGAAAAATAAAGTTACACACTTATAAAGTATAAGTGATGTACATAAATACATCATTGAAAAAAACATGTAATTAAAAGTAGAAAAAAGATAATCAATATTACTTTTTTTAGTGGCAAATAATAAAAATTCATTAATATATATAAATATATACGTCAAATACTAGAATATTTCCTATCCTATTGAAGAAATTAATTAAAAAAAAAAAAAAAATTGTAAAAAATACAAATGTAAAGTAAATTTTTAAAAGTTCTAATTATTTCTTTAAATGTTATAAAATAATATATGTAATTTACATTAATTTTATTTTCATTCAATTTTTAATAACTATAATACAATAAAATAATAACAAAAAAATAGTCTTTTTGATATTTTCTTTTTACAATCATTAATATATTTTACACTTACATAATAAAATGCAGCTGGAACATTTTGACGAGCAGCTGTTGACTTTTTAGAAGAAGATTTTTTTGAAGGTTTTGATTTAGGGGTTTTATTAGGCTTAATATTTGTGTTTGATGGAGAAATCAAAATTGTTTTTGTTGCAGAAGACAAATTGATTGTATCTTCATTTTTATCATTTGCAGGTGGTGTTATATTGTGAAAATTATCTCTAACAGAGGGGATTTTTTTTGATGATTTTGAGGAACGCTTATCTGTATTATCTCCACATAATTCTTTTTTTTCTGTTTGCAATGGTAGATTGGGTGAAAGGCATAGAGAACGGTCATCTTTAATTGAGTATTGAGGTGATTTTATAGACTCCATGTTTCTTTCTTCTTTTGGTAATTTTGTACGTGTGACATGAGATTCAGGATCATTAGAGCTAGGTGGAGATTTGCTATTTTTTACAATAGGTTTTATAACACTAAAATTGTATAAAAAAAATATTAGTTTAAGAAATTTAATTATTCTAAATAACAAATTTCTAAAAATGTATAAAAAACAATTATATGAAATCATTGATTCAATATTTTATTAGATCATAAAAATTTTGTAATTTATAAAAATGAAAAATAATTTTTTATTTCAAACATTGAAGTTTTTAGTAACTTACATTTTGCGCTGATTTGTAGTTGGTGAGGAATTTGACCCTGGAAGTTTGAGCTTTATTTTAGGGACTAATGATTCTTCTTCTTTATTTGTATTAATCTCCTAAACAATTTAATAGTAAAATACTTATTTAATTAAATGAGAGATCCTAAATAACTAAGGTACAACCTAAATTGTTCAATAATTGAAAAATACATTAATATATTTTTCTAAGATAATTACTTATATGTTTTAATTTAAAACTCAAATTTTCATTTTTAATAATTATAAATTATTTTCTTCAGGAGAAAAGGACATGAGACAATTTTTTAATATTTTTAGTAGTTATATTATTTTTGTTATATATTTTGATCTAAATGGAAAAATTTTAAGATAGAAACCTAAACTACTGCATGGTAGTTATTTTATAAATAACTACCATGCATATTTTTTTGATTTATTAATTCTAATAATCCTTTGTACATTATTAAGGTGTTAATATATTTTTTAATGAAAACATTGTACTAGCTCAAAAAAAAAAATTAACTAATTAAGAAAATGATTGGTTGATGACCATTTTGACCCATTATTTCTGAAGTTATATCTATTTTATAATAATGAACGGAAATAAATTATATGTTATGTTATTTTTATCATTACGAATTACTCTGCTATGTTCTTCCTTCATTATTTAAAAATATTAACTTCTAAAGTACTAATTCAAACATTTTTTTCGACTAGTCAATTTTTTTAATATATAATTTTTTTATTTTATTAGCTAGTTAAATGTGTTGCCAAAAAAAAAAAAAAAGTTGACACCCTTACAAAGCATAAAGGGATGAATATAATTATTATTTTCAGATTAATCGAGTGGCTAATATTAAATGAATGACTTATATACAACAACTTTATATCTCCGTAAAATTACAACATTAAATTATTCAATATCAATTTCATATTAAATTTAATAATAATAATTTATTCATGTATTATACTTTTAAATCATAAAACTCCTTATTACAATAAGGAAATAAAAGTTGATACTGCATTTGGAATAATTCAACAATTTCTTTTAAAAATTAAATACTACCTTCAGATTTGTATTGAAGTTTTTTTTATGATAGTGTTTTTAATCACTATCTGATATTATCTATACTTTTCTCAATTATGTTAATTCCTCACTTTGCCACAACACCAGTGTACTAGGTTTTTTATTGGTTTTCAATATATCTTTATTTCAGATTTTTTTTATACCAGTTATATTTATAGTATATTGTGTTTTTTGAGTTTGAACATTTATGTGTGTTACAATTTATAATAGTTACAACAGTACTGGGTATCATGCATATTCAGGTTCATATCTTCATTATAAATATATTGTTTCACTATAATTATTCATGATAATAACTAACTTACTTCTATCATACTCATGCTAATGTCATCTTTATTAGATTCAGCATCAGCTGAATCGGATTTATCTTTGAGTATTTTACCAAGCATTTTTTCTTCCTTCTTACGTTTTTTTTCCCTTTTTTTATCTTTTTTATCTTTCTTCTTTTTCGACTTTCTTCGTTCTTTTTTCCCCTAGAGTTAAAATACTTCACATGAATTTCAAAATTGTTAATTAAAATTTTATATTTATGTTTAAAAATATTAGTTAATATTAACATGGAATTTAAAGCAAAGAATATGAAAATTAATATTAAATTTATATTATATAACACAGCCTCTGGGAATTGACGGCCGGTTATAGAAAGTGTACTGGAAATTGTGTAAAAAAAAGGATTAGAACCTGTGACCCAAGCCGTCATAGAGACAAACCTTGCCACTAGTCCATCATGCATTTATGATTCAGATTTCAGTATACATTTATTTAGGTTGATAATGTCATGTGCTGCTGTACCGTGTCATATCAAAGGAGTAGTTCTATTTTTGTACATTTAAATGACACTACATTTTCATTAAAATTAATGATAAGTTTATAGATATACATATATGTATGTATTAAAAATATTTTAGTTAACTATTATAATACACAAAATGTATTATAATAGAAGGAGGGATGCTATACACATATAACTTTGTCTTATAATTTATTTAATATATGAAAACTATTAAGAGTTTTTAATAAGCTCTTTAACATTATTTTAGACCTGCCTTGCTACTCTAACTGAATTTGTGTTTGTTAAGTTAATTTTTTGGCCAATTTTTTGTCTATAAGAAATGTATTACAATCAATGCTAAAATTCCAAATAAGTTTAAAACTAATATGATTTCTGAATTTCACTTATTAAAGTTTCTATAAACTAGCAAAATATAATATTAAATAGGAAACTTTAGGGTTCTTCAATCAAGGAAGGTATTTTAAATGTAGTGAATTAGTTAAAATTAATAAATATTATAAAACACTGCCCAACTCATATTTCAGTATTATAAATTACTTACCTCTTCTACTATATCCTTTTTTTCCTTAACAAGTAATGGAGGTTGTGGTTCAATCTCATTGGACAAATGATAATCATCTTCCCCAGGTATAGTTGGCAAAAAATTATTAATTGGAGATTTTTCAATTGATTTTGTAGATATAATACTGCTAGGAGGTAAAGTATATTTGGGAACTAAAGGGTTTGATGCAAGTGCAGGTGGTATTGGAGGGGGTAGATTTCCAAAAAATGAAAACTTTACAGGAGATGGTGAAAGAGGTCGTATTTCATTGGACATTTTTGGTTTCTTCTTAACATTATTTATGACTGCATAATCTGAGAAGAATAAGTCGTTATCATGCATTACTGATTTTTGCATCTTCTTTCTTTTTTTAGGTACTGATTTTGATACATCTTCTACTTTATAATCAGATACTTTAGATGTACGGGTGTTATCTGAACATTTTTGACTAGAGAAAATTGTAGATTCAGGGATTTTTTCAGTGCTGTCTTTTTTTATATCATCTGAAGTTAAAATATTATTAGTATTTGTACTATTACTGTCAGGCTCATTACTAGATGTCAGAACAATACTGTTGCTCTGTGGTTTTGCAAGTTGTCGAATTGCTGAGGACTTATCAGATTTAGTTGAAATTTTTTTAAATATATTTAATTTACGTTTGTCTGGTTCAGAATTAAGTTTTTCACTGTCAGTTTTATTACTATCAAGGGTATAGCTGTTTTTGGAACGTTTATTTGAATTATTAGATAAAGGTGTATTACTTTGAGGAGAGTTGGAAGTAGTTGGTAAAGATCTATCAAATATTGCATTTAATGCATTTGTTTTTAATTTATCTCTATTTTTAGAAGATTGGTCATTGCGCGAATTATTATCTCGTCGTAATATTCCATTTCCTTTTGATGACTTTTTAGGTAGCTCATCTTTTAAATGTTTTTTACTAATTTTCGTATTATCATTTTTATTATTGTTACTTTCTAAATTAATTTTTTCTTTATTCATGGAATGGTTTGGTATCAAGAATTTTTGAGATGGTTTTTTAATATGACGAGGCTGGTGACTTTTTTCACTCTTTACTATAGGTAATTCTGTAGAGCGTGAAATATTTTTTGATGATACAGATGAACTAGTTTTTGAACTTAATGAATTAGAAGAAAATGAAGGAAGAATCAATCTAGATTCTGGAAGTCTACCTTCACGTGAAGGTGATAAATACCCAGATGTTGTCATGACCACACTAGATATATCCCTTAGTCGTCTATTTAATGGAACAATTAATCGATTGTTAATAGAAGACCTGTAAATAATTAATAATTTTAACATTAAAAAATATTTAATGTTCATTTTAAAACAGTTGCTTTTTTTTTAAATTTGTATAACTAAACAAATAATAAGTATATAGTACCTATCACCAACATTATTGGATGCCATGTTATTTTCTTGAACATTATTACCATCGAAAACATTCCATGAATTATTAGTTGATTTATTTAAATCACTGCCATCATAGTTTTGAGATAATTTTTCATCTAAATTAATTTATTTTGAATATTTATTAAATACATAAATGAATGAATTAAAAATACATATAAAAATTATTACTATATTATTTCTTAAAATAATACAAGAAGAAAATACTACACATTTTGTTAAGACAAATTCTATAAGCAATTATAAATTTTACCTAATTGTTGTTCTACATGATACATAGTCGGTAAGTGTTCATGTACATGAACAGGCCTTGTTACAATTTCTCTACTTCCAGGTTTCATCATATTCAAGGTACTGGACTTAGCTGGATGGGGATATTGAGGTAATGAATTATTCATAGTAGGATGTTCTATTTCACTATTTTGTTGGTATTTCAAATACTTTCTTATTTCAACTAAACGGATATGTCTATCATTAAAAGCCATAGTTACATCTTCAATATCTGGTATACAATTTCCAATTAAGTTAGTATTCGCTAAAAATGATTTTTACTATTAAAATATAAAATGTAATTTTAAAATATCAAAGACATATTCATTTAAAAGCTGAATGTTTAGTTGAACAGTGCAATTTTTGTATAAAATTGTTCATACTTGGAAAATGTTTTAAAATAGATGCATTGACACATTAAAATCTGTAATTTACTTACATATTTCGGAATACATTTTGACGGCTCGCGCTAACCCAGCACAATACTCGTGTAGTACATCAGTCATCGTCCTTAAAGCAGACCCAGAAGCTGTATCCCATCCAGCCTCCGCACATACACGAGCAACAGCAGCCGCCAACCCGTGCCTAGTAAAATCATCTTCGGAGGCCATATATTATTCTCCTCTCGGCTTCTGGGTGGCGGCAATTTTCTAAAGATTAAGAAAACACTAGTAAATTATGTTAATAAATTTTGTTAAAATTTTGATTTATTATCAAATATAAGACATCAATATTATTTAATGATAATAGTTATCAGTACAATTTTTATCAATCATGGATAAATTTAAACATGGAAAAATGGCGCATTCATCAAGTTCTGTTCAAATTTATCTAGTCTAATATTTAGACTTTTATAATTATTATCAAAAGTTAATAGTATATTATAAATTAATTGGTTTTAAAATTTTATTTAAAATTATTTTTGAATTAAGAAAAACTGAATTTTAATTTTTTTAAAAAACTTTATACCAATTGTGAATAATTGTAAAAATGATTAAATTAATTGTATTTAAATAGTTCATACATGTTTGCTATATGTAGCTATATTATTTAGTTTATTATTTTATTGAAGTTGTAAATTGTATACTATATTATGTATAATTATGGGCGTAGCCTAAAAAAATTGACTGTGTGAGCCATCATAGTCATATATTCTGTTAATAATTTTTGAATAATATATATATAGACCTGATATGTTTACCACATTGCTTCCTACTCATTCCAATACCCAATAAATTGATTAATTGTGGATGTTAATAATATTTCTAAGGGACTAAAGTCTCCACAACTCCATGCAAATTTTGATAATGTATATAGTTCATAATTTAAGACTTAAATGTTTTTACATATTATGCAAAAATAGTATCACATTTATGAACTATTTTTATAATTAATAAAAGGGCTACAGTATATTTTGTTATTGGCGCTTATAACATAAGTGATGAGCAAAATTAGGCCCCCAAAAATGCATGCGTATTTGCCCTCATTAGTGAAAAATCATACGTGAGTAACGATGATGTGATAAGTTCAATAACTTTTAATTCAATTATCATTTCTTTGAAATTAAAAAAAAATTAAATTTTTTTCTCAACATTTTAAAACATTAATTTTAGTTTTTTTTGACAAAAAATTTTGATAGTTAATTTATCATGATGATGTTTTATCCAAGACTGGTAAGATGATATGGCCACATATATAGAATGCTCATTAAGTAAGGAAATGGGTTTCTAATGTTCTTATTGTTTGTAACAATTGAACTGTTTCCTTACTTACTGAGCACTCTGTATGACTATGATAAAACTTTTTCATATTCTTACGGTAACTTAAAACAGCATATTTTATTAAAGATAAATTTTAATAAAAAGCTACAATTGTTGTAATTATGAAGAGGTTAGGATGCCTGACATAAAAGTTATTAAAAATTCGATTTATGATAATTTTCATGGGTTTTAAAATTTTATATTTTAGTAATAAATGGATTCATAACAGTATGAGTATGAGTAACATTACAGTAAAGGTTAATTCCACCGTTAAAATGTGGAAATTAATTTAATCAGGTGTTTATGTGCGTATTTTGCATACAGTGTTCTACACAAAATAAATTAAAAAAATATATATGCATGTCATACAATTTATAACTATAACGAGAATATAAATATTTAGAGAGAGGAGAAATTAAGCCACATTATTAAAAAAAATATATTACAAATAAAGAATTTGAATTTATTAAATTATTAAAATGCTTATATGAGAAATTTTATATTATAATATAGATTTATATACAATATCTTTGTATCTAAAATTATTCTGTATTTTTAATCAATTTTATATATTAAAATATTTATAAAATTCATGAAGTATTAGACGTGCTGAATACATAATTTAGACAGCACTATATCTGTTTTGTGAAACCTATAAAATATTTGTTAAGAATTATTCTGTTGCGCATTCTGTATATGGGGTTGTGATATCAAACTAATAAATACATAGCACAGCCGTTCCAACTCTCCCTTCCATTGTTATGATGATTATTTTATACTAATTTTGTGAAAATGCTGGCAATGTGTTTTAAGTGCTCATGCATCTGCAACATTGCTAGTTAGGGTTTTTCTGTGACCGAATTGATAACATAAATACGTACAAATTATTATTCTTTAAACATTGATCGACGCGATTAATTTATTAGTTTTATTTATATCTTGTAGTATTTCAGTGTATATTATATTTCCCATGCGTGTGTTTTAATTTTAAAGTACTTAATTATGGGTATCTCAAATAAATGTATTGTAATATTTTTAGTTAAATTTGTTTTTGCTGCTATAAGTAAGTATATAAAACATACTATATTTCTAGAAAACAATTTGTAACTTCTCTTGATGAAGTTATATTATAATTTTCGTATATTTTATCATATAAGAATTTTCTTAGTGATGGATTAATTCACTTTAATTAGTGTAAACAATTCCAAATAGTATATTATTTCAAGCCTTTGACTTTCCAAAATGTATTTTTTTTCAAATATTTGCTTTAGGTGATGTACCACCTTCATGGAGTTCTTATTATACATTAGAGGCAGATATTTTTATTCCATATGCTGAAGTACATGAACCCTTTAAAGCATGGTATGATTCTGAATCGAGCAATAGTCGGATTGATTATTACAATGGTAAGTGTTGAAAGAAAGAAGTTAAAAATAATATTTAACTACTGTTTAAACAAAAGTATTTAAGTACACAGAGTGTTCAATAAGTAAGGTATTAGATCAATTGTTACCAACAAGATAAACCCGTTTCCTTAATGAATAACAATTTGATTAATTAAGAGTAAAATAGACATTAAATATGATATATAAAGGTTATTACAATGTAATGTTAATGACAATACAACCAACAGTTGTGTGAGAGTAAAAAAAAAATTAGCAGCCTACTATTTTGTAATACTTTATCAGCATAAATTATAAATGTTTTACTTAACAATAAAATAAATGATTACACTAATTTTTAATTTTTATGTCAACAGTTAGAATGTAGTAATTATTTATTAATACAGTGTGCATAAATTGAATAGTGTCCTGATAAAACAGAAAAAAGCCTGTAAAAAATTTTTAAGAAAAAATGTCATTGTTTTTTTTACTTGATTTTTATTTAAGATGTAGTGTTAAAACAATTAATTTTTAAGAAAATAAAATAAAAAATGAACTTTTTTTGTTACTTTAAACTTTATAAGGTGGTCCACAATATTTTGACAAATCTAATAACTTTTGATCCAGAATATATTTTATGTTACGTTTTTTTAATATAGAAGTGCAATGGACCATTCATTTGCCCCCTAGGCGTTGATGTTCAGTTACTCTGTTTACTGTTGGTTCTTATATAGAAATTTTAAAAATGACACACACCTTGGACCTATATTGCTTTACTCAGTCATGAGGTTGTATCAGGTCAATAGCCTAGTTTTAGTTTTAGTTGCTATCGAGGTGGACATAATGTCCATGCACTCAGACCTGTTGGGTCATTGTGCGCACCTCTTACTAAATTGTCTTGATTCGGTTTGTCCATCTAAGTGTTATCACCCAAGTGTTAATACATTATACCTATCATCGTATAAGGAGTGGACCATTAATTCACTCCTATAAACATAAAATTCTTTGTGTTTCAATAAAAAAAAATTATATATAGTTTATTTAAAAAATAATGTAAGAATTTTTTATTGTTGTATTGTTTAGGAATGGCAAAAACCTATCAGCTACAAAGAAAAGGAGATAATGGTTCATCTCTTAAAATTGTTCCTGTTACAACAGAAACTGAAATAAATTCTGTAAAATGTTTACAAGTTAATGGCTCAAAAGAAATGCATATTACTCCTCAACAATCTGTCCCTGATCTAAAAGATTTTAAGGTATTGGAAATGTTATCAGTAATACTAAGTTTCACATGAGGAACACTACCTTGTTTATCTTTCTAAAAGCTAAAACTAAATAAGTTATTATTTTCCTAAATTAAATATATCAGATGATTATATTTTAAGAATAATATACAAATAATGATACGAATAAAGATTTTTTTTCCATAGATTAGTAGAAAATTCTATGTTGATTAACTTAAAAGTATCAAATGAATTAGATATAATTGATCATTGAATTTTTTTAAATTATCTATGTTCAATTTAATTGAATATATTTTAGATCTTACCTAAAATTAAAATTTTGTAGACATTTTGAAAACTTAAGTATCATTTAAGCTGTTATTTAGTTTTAAGATAAAATGTTTGAATCATTAATGAGTTTTATTAAAATGATACCTTAATGATCAATAATTAAAAGTAGTAGAAGATCAAAAAAGAGTTGGAGGAATTTTATTGAATGTTATATGAGGACAGCTGATGTGGGAGATCGTATCAAGTGGATGGTTAGGATAAGGGTGGTCATCCTTAAGTAGTTGGGTTGGGATTAAGGCAAGGAAAAAGAAGATTACAATTTTAATTGGAAATGAAATTATAATTAATTAATAAAGGTCAAAATAACCAAACATTTTATAAACATTATTGCTTTAAAGTGTTTTATGATAGTGATTTTAATCATTGTCAGATTTAAATTTTTAACGATCCCTTCTATACCAGTCCTTTACTCTGCTGTGTTTTGACTGAACTGGGAGTAGTTTTTTTTATTATGTGATGTAAAAAACATTATTTTAAAAAGAGTAAACCGTTGTAATCAACTAATAATGAACTAAGGTAAGTATTGTTATGATTCAGGATAGTAGAGAAGACAAATTTTTTTAGATTAATATCGATTGATATTTGATAGTGATTAAAATAACTGTCATAAATCATTTGTATATTATGCGTTATCAATTAAAAAAATATATTATGTTTACCAAAAGTTAAATTATGGTTGACTTATTCATATTTTTGATTATTTATAAAGGACAAGTTACCAAAATGTTTTTCCTATTTAATCGTATATTACAATTAAAGAACTTTATTTTTAATTTACTTTGAATGTTCCAAGTATTTTACTACAAGAAACTCTAAAAAAGGGCTATTTTTATTAAAATGATATGATTTTTGGACCAATTAATCCATAACTCTTGTAAATTAAGTTTTTGTATAGTTTTTCATTTTTAATCTTATAATATATTGTATTAGCTTTAATTTGATGTGGATAAGCCCCTACAATACTTTAGTTAATGACTGTATTTTCTTAAAGTATGATGTCGGGGCAAGGTCTAAAGTATAAGTATAAGTGTGATATTTCTCTTTATAACTGCGATTGAAGGAAATGCTCAATATTTTTGATAGATTCATTAAATATATTTTATGATTTTGTGACGTATCATTGAGCAAACTACAGTAGGAGCAAAGTATTTATGTATATATTTACTGGGTGATAGGTTTATCATAAATTATTCGGTTACTGGCAAAATTAATACAATATTAGAGAAAAAATTTTGATTTTTTTTAGTTACATATATTTCTTGATTAATTAGCTATTATTTACTTATTAGGATCATCCCTTATATCTTATAAGGATGTGAACCCTATATTTTTAAATGGCAACATACATATTTATTAACTTATGAAATAAAAAATTTTATGATTAAGAAAATGATTGGAAGTGAAAAGTGTGTGTTGCTATTTTTATTACTTTTCCCGAAACATATAGAACTTTCTAAGTACTAGTCCATTAGTTGTTATAGACCAGTCATTTTCTTAATAATAATAATTAATAATTTTATATTTTATAATCTTATTCAATATAAGTTTTGTTTAAAAAAAATCATGTTGCTTTAAGTTATAAAGACTTATTCTAAAAAGTAATTATTAGCTAATTAATAAAAACATATTTGTAACTAATAAATATAAATTTTTTTTTTCCAATCTTGTATTTAGTTTGCAAGTAATTGAGTGGTTTATAGTAAACAGATCACTCTGTATATATATATATACAGTGTTCTACACTGAAAAAATATGTTCTAAATTGTTTTTACTTAAAGTACAATTGTATTGAAAGAAAATGTTTTATTTTCAGTTAGCTGGAGAAGAATTAATTGATGGTTTTAAATCTGAAAAATGGATGTCTATTGTAAGAGTTGGAGATAAAGTTAGCAAGTACATAATGTGGTTGTATAGAATGGTAAAAGAAAAAAGTTATTGTTACTAGTTACTGTACCTATAATTTTTTTGTTTTGTTTTAATGTGTATTTATTATACTTAAATTCTTATTAACTTGTTTAATAAAGTTAATAGTATTGTTAAATTTTTAAAAAGGTATAATTACTTTTATTGAATTATTATTATTAAAATTATTAAAATTAATAAGATTATTTTCAAAAAAAAAATGATTTTCAAATTAATATTTTATTTTTATTTTTATTTCAAACTCTGAACCTATAATTTGATAATTGATTAATATTTTATATGAATAAATTTTATATCCTAAATTTAACCAGTTTTTGTTCTAGGATAGTGAAGTTTATCCTTTGCGATACGAGATGAAAGGATTTAATTCATTATTTGGTTCACATTTTGATCATTATATAGTAGTTTATCGTAGTTATGATCCTAGCAAACCAGATCCAAGTATATTTAATGTAGAAGGTATTACCTTTTTTAATTGGCTAATTAAATATGTACAAAACTTAGTAATTCAATATTTTATTTAGAAATACAATGCGAGTCATTCCCTGGACCTGGTATTGATCATGTATACACTTTCAATCCCATGAAAGAGTTCATGAACAATTATGATGACCATGTTGATATTGCATTTGATAATTTCAAACATCACCATAAGAGAAATTATGACAATTCAACTAAGGAACATTTCGACCGCAAAAATTATTTTCGACAAAACTTACGGTTTTTATTTTAAATTTCAAATTTTTTATTTAATATAACATTAACACTTCTTATAATTTAAATGTTTAGATTTATTCACTCAAAAAATAGAGCCAATACAGGGTATACACTCGCTGTTAATCATTTAGCTGATAAATCAGAATTAGAACTCAAATCATTATATGGTTATAAAAAGACTATTTTAGAAAATAATGGTGGTAAACATTTTTCGTATGATATGAATAATATAAAAAATTTACCTGATTCAATTGATTGGAGAATACTAGGTGCTGTCAATCCAGTTAAAGGTATATGCATGTACAAATTTATACATTATCAGATAATATAGATTCTATGTATAAAGATAGTATAATATGTATTATAATATTAAATTTGATATTTTTATCTAAAAATAATTCTATACATTTACAATAAATCTAAAAGATTTTCTATAAACAATTAAATATATTTTAAAATATCTTGTTCTAGTTTTTACCATCATATAATATAATAAAATTTATATATTGTAATATTAATGATTTAGATCAGTCAGTTTGTGGTTCATGTTGGAGTTTTGGAACAACTGGTGCCGTTGAAGGTGCATATTTCTTAAAGCATGGACACCGAGCAAGTTTTTCAGAACAAGTAAAGTTTTTATTTTTTCATAACTATAATTATTATGAGCTATATTAAGTAAATAATAAAAGATTAGCCAAATATTAATGTGACACATGATGTAGCTTTGTAATCATTTTCGCTGGTATCCTTAAGTTCTTGTGCATTTTATAACTTAAGAATTATTAAGTGTACTTAATTCATTGCTAATTGTGAGAAGTAAATCCATTTTTTTTTCCAAAGTAATAGTAAAATGTATCATTTTTACAATATTTTGTGTCAATATTTTAAATATATATTTATTGACTCATTACCATATTTTAATAAATTCCAATATAATATTTTGTTTTATCAAGATAATTACTTTCACAATAGTATTATTAAAAATTAAATAAGGTTTTGCAATTCCTATTATTTTAAGTTCTATCAAATGAAATATTCAAATATTTCTTATTAAAATTATCAAGTTTCAAATTTTTAAAATTATTTCTTTGTATGTATAACATAACTAGATGTTTTTTACAAATATTAACTACAGTTAATCATTAATTTTATGTTTAAAGAAAATGTTTGTATATTGTCGTCTTATGTAATGATTTATCTGACTGTTTGCAAACTAATTGCCATAAGCATAACTTCATTTAGAATATTTTGATTGGTTAATAAAATTTAATGAAAATAGTGTAACAGTAATATCCTTGAAAATAGTTAACAGAAATAATGTTATATAAGTTTTGTTTTTTTTATTAACTATAATGGGCAAGTTAAAATTTTTAATTTATCAATTTCTTAGGCCTTGGTTGATTGTAGTTGGGGATTTGGTAACAATGGTTGTGATGGAGGCGAAGATTTTAGAGCATATCAGTGGATTGAAAAACATGGTATACCTACAGAAGATGCCTATGGACCTTACTTATCACAGGTTTTTTTTACATAATTTTTTAAAAGAATAATTCATCCAGAAATTATATGTTATTCATTTTTATAATAGGATGGCTTTTGTCATGTAAATAATTCTTTATCTGATGGTTTGACTAAAATTTCTGGTTTTGTAAATGTTACACCAAATGATGAGGAAGCATTGAAAAGTGCTTTAGTAAATCATGGTCCAATCTCAATAGCAATTTATGCATCATTGAAGTCATTTAGTTTCTACTCAAATGGTGTATATTATGATCCTAAATGTCGTATGTATTCTTAATATGTATTTCTTTGCATCATTTTTACATAGTTATTTTAAGATTTTACTATTTTTATTTGTGTGATGATTAAAAAATTTATATTGTTTTTAGTTAATGATCCTAAACAAATGAATCATGCAGTTCTACTTGTTGGCTATGGTGACTTAAATGGTAGTCCTTATTGGCTAGTAAAGAACTCTTGGTCAAATTTCTGGGGTAATGATGGATATATCCTTATGTCACGTAAAGACAATAATTGTGGTGTGCTTTCTTCTCCAACATATGTTACTATGTAAAATCATATATATATATATATATATTTTTGAAATTTTAGTTTTTTAATTTCTTGTAATATTGTTTATATATTGTAATAGTGTGTCTAAATTTTTAATAAAGTGATTTTTCCTTAAATAATAAAATTGTTGTATTTCTTAATACAGTGAAACCTCCTTACAACAGAAAAACTGTGGAACAAAATTTTTTCCGTCAAAATAAGGTCACCATTTAGTAGTAGTTAATTTAAATCTATAAAAACCGGAATTATAGAATTTTTCTGTTTAAAAGAGATTTCCGTTTAAGTGAGAGTCCGTTGTAAGGAGTTTTACTGTAAACACTGTATCATAATCACTTATTGGTAAAACTAATGACACAATTCAAGATTCAACATATTTTTAATTTTTTTAAATGAAAAGTGTTACATTAACAAAGGAATGTTCATTAATTTAGTTTCCCGTACAATCTTACTAAATATTAATTAATGTAGAAATAATATAAAAATGTTATTTTATGTTACAACTGTAAAATTTGTATATTTTTATTTATCACAGGCTTTGCTAACGGATAATATAAAGTAGCGTTATTGAAGAAGGGGTATAAATTTGTTTATCATCCTATTCTATTAACATAGTAAAATAGTATCATTACCATACTTAGAGGTAGCTTATTTTTCATTTTATTGTCAGAACAAAAAGAAGTTCATTTCCGAATATACAAAAACATTAACTTCTCGTATTTCTTAAATAGCTGTAAAATGTTAATTACGCCTTCAAGTATACAGATTAGTTGAATGTATATTTGAAAGTTAAATTGCCATTTTTTTATCTTTATGTAGCCTAATTATCTGATTCGTCAGAGGTTTTTAAGTATTGTTTTTGAAAAGCGTTTGATTTTTATTATATGTCAATTACGTAATATAAGGAATTAAAGGTTTTGTAACATATCTGTTTTCAATGTGGGGTGCTAACAAAATTTACTTTTCTTTCGTGTGGCATTTATTGAATTGATAAAACTTTTTTTGGACTTTGTTTATCAACTCGAGCAACACATTTGAAGGCAAATGCTGTAGATCTTTCCACTAGATCCGTGCTTGGTAGTAAGTGAATAAATGCAACCCCCACTTTTAAAAATCCTAAAGCGATTTAATCTTTTTCGATAATATTTAGTCGTCAAAAGCTAATCAAGAATCCACATGGAAGAAAGATAATAATAGTTAATACATGGAATAAAAAATAATAAAAATTTAAATTAATAATGCTTTTGAAAAAAGGTTGCGCAATTAAAGGAAAACAAATATTTTTTACACATCAATTATTGTATTGGTAATTCTTAAATTGTTTTGTAAAGTAATATAAATTTACCTATTTAATCGTCTACTATTTAATTTTCTTTATTTCAATTTAATGTAAGGTTTAATTTTTGCCATAAACTCAAGTGCACCTGATATATATTTTTTTATTTATTGTTAACGAATATGTGTTTTAACCTGTTGGTTTACTTCAGTTTCATTTTTATGTTCATTTACACAAATTCTATATTACTATTAGGTAAGTTATTTTAGTTTTATTTCATATTTTATTGGATATACATATATATACAATAAAAATAATATAAAATGTATAAAATATAACCCATTTTCTATCTTGAAATATATAAAATGTGACGTGCGCGGATCCAACTCGCGCTAACGAGTGAGGTGGCCGCTCTACCGTCTCTCAGAATTCACACCTGACATGTCATACAGAGTGATTATTTTAACACTACTCGATTTCTCTTAAAATAGTGATTCTTTTTTTGTCTTTTGTTAGTTACACATGTATTTCTATTTATTTGTTGTAAAATATCTATTATGTTTATCGTTTATGTATTATAGGGGTGTTCAGTTAACTTTTTAAATGGTAACATACATATTTAACTAGATTATAAAATAGAAAATAACTAGTTGTTAACATCACTTCTCTTCCCGCCTAGATATAAAAATGTTAATAACTTTCAAAATACTGGTTAAAAAGTTGTTATTGGTCAGTATTTTCATAATTACATCGTTTTATTTTTTACAATCAAATTAATGAAGCTTACATAGTGTAATAATGTTTTTCTCAGGCACATGCTATACATTTTTGGGAGGTTGTTTTATATATTATAAAGATGTTGAAAAGTTAAGAAATGTTAATTGTTGCAAACAATATAAATTCGTTTCTTTACTTACCGAACACTGTATAATGAAAAATGAATATAAGCCGTATACCTTTCAAAAATGACTGAGTATCTGACATTGGTGAAATTTCAATTCGGACTCAAGTTAAGATTTTACGCCCTTACTCTACATTTATAAAATTATCACCTTTAAGGTATTTTTTTTTGTTAATTATTTACTGAATAATTAAAAATAATTAGTTTTCAATCTTTAAATCCTCGAGAAATTTTTCGTAAATTATAAAAATATAGGAACAAATTTGTTTTATTTGTTTTTGCTGTCATGTTCAGGGTTGTTAAAAAAACTGTTTAAAACATAAGTTAACAGCTTAAAATATCATCCCACAATACATTAATCATAACTTTGAAATTTTTGGTATTTTAAAATACAAGAACTTTGGGTCTTGTTATGAAGTTAAGAATAAGGGTCTCCATTTAAGAAAATTAAAGCAAAGGTCTTTTATTCTTGAAGATATAAAAATAAATTATTTGACAATATAATATTGTAGTCTTTTGAACAAAATGATATTTTTCTTTAGAAAAATAAAAAATGTTTAATATTTTTTAAGAAAATAAGCGAGTGTCTTACCCAAAATATTGCATTAATATTTACATAAAATATGCTAATATTTAAATACTAACTACTAGATACATTTCACAAGAGTGAAAGTTGACTGGAGCCCTTTTAATTTTTCAGTTCGAATAAAATGTATTTTTACAAAGGAAAAGAAACTTATTTGCGTTCGTTCACGAGATGGCTCTGCCTTTGTGTCTTGCAACAGCGCTACGGTCTCCCTAGTTGCATTTTCCGTTTAACTTTTCCGATGTACTCTTGGCGCAAACCACCTTGCGCTACAGTCAGTGGACTATCCGTCGCTGGTTTCGCTTGGTGCCTCTTTGTCGACCCGCATACAAGCACCACGAGCACGCGATTTGAACGTATACTTGTTATCACTTGTAACATTTTCTCGGTTAATATTACTTATTGAAATATTATTAAAAATATAGTTTGTAATTTTGCATTTTAAATCCGGTCGTTTCTGATCAAGTACGACTCGGAAAATGTCTTCAAAAACGCGTAAGCGTAAAACGTCGGTCGCTCGTTTTAGTGGTTGGCTTTGGAGATTAGTGTTCACCGCATTTGCTTGCAACCACATGGCTATATTGCTGCACTTATACTTGCTGCCCGGTAAGCAGGACATAAAGTCTTGATATGACACTTGATTATTGTTTACCATAATGTTTTGAAGTATAATTAATCTGTTGTATCAGAAAGTCGAAAAACCGTGTAAAATTTAGTATCTTGTGATTTTTTAAAAGTGACATTTTTTATTTAAGGTTTTATAAATGGCAAAGTTAATACAACTTTTTGAACTCCAAACAGTAGTTACTTTATTAATATGAAAACGAATTAATTGAAATTTAAAAATTTTCCAACATATATTGCAATAAAATCGAAAACGTGTATTGATTTATTTATGATTCATAAGCGAGTTAACAATTAATTTTCAGCAATAATTTAACATGGTAACATTCTGTAGATAATGCTACGTAAATTATTACCTATTTCTTAGTCGTTCTTACGTGCTAAGAACACCTTTAGACGTACACGCAATAATATTCAAATGATAATTTCGCGATATTTGTACTTCAAATTTAAATACTGACTTCAAACGATTTTGTTAAAAACTTTGTTTTGACCATCGTACAAATCATCAAAGATTAGTATTGTTATATTTTTATAAGGCATTATTCTTTGATGTGTATGAAATAAATCAATTTTAATACAACACATTTTTTATTGAACAGCAAATAATTAAATTTTGTCACTATACAAGTCAATAACGCGATTACAGCTTACGCAAAATAAATTAAGTGAAAATAAATATAATTAAAATATATAGCTACTATAGCTAGATAATTTTCGTCGACAATAATTAATCAAAAATATTTACTTATTAAAAAAAAAAGTAAGGTGTGAATTAAATTATAATACGAAACTTGTGGATTTGAAATAAAAAAATTCGTTATCATGTCATGTATATACTGTTAATTATAACAGTATATACATAATATAAATAATGAAATCGATTTGATCATCTTATCTAATCTTATATTGTAGATGTTTTTTTTTTCGTTCTTTGTTTTGGTAGTGAATATGAAGATACAAAACGAAAGATGAGTATTATTTTTATAAGTATTTGTCTGGTTTCTAAAACTATCACGAACGAACAGCAAACTAACTTACTCTTTATATTTGACTAATTTCTGTAGTCATTCGATATATTTGTTTATAAGGTTAAGTTTTTTATAAGAGGTTTTTATTAACAGTATACAAAAATTAAATCTGTAAAGAAAATACATTTTGTTATGTCTATATGATTTAAAAATTCATTGAATATGTTAATGTTCAAATATTTGAAATGGATTTAGTTTTTCGAATACTAGTGCGAGTAAAAATCGAGACGTCTAATTGTTATCCAATTAAACAAGCCGAAAAAAGTGTTGAAAACAATAACATTCTAATAGTTACATTTTGTTTAGTATTTGTGTGACTTCGTAAAGAATCCTATTAAAAACAACACAATCCGATTTCTCATTTATATTTTAGCAATGTGTCAAGTGTGACTACCATTATATTGTAGAAAAAATACTGGTTGAAAAATCAAAATTAGTATTTTTAAATAACCTCAAATTTAATAAATGTTTATTTTATTTGAAATACTATTTAATAATATGCTACAAGTACTTGTTGTAGACCTAAGGATTTTCTTCATTATTACTTTTTCTCGTTATTACTATTTTTTTTTTGATTGAGTGAAAACTTCATTTGTTCATTTATACAATACTGTTGGATAGGCGCGACTTTCCTTATTGTTCAACTAAATATATCATTTATAGAGCTATTGAAAAATTATACCCTTCTTATTTGTAAGGAATTTGTAATTGTTATACCATTACAGGTTTTCTTTCTAAATTAAACTCTGAATGAATTATGATTTAACCTGTCTCAACGCTTATTTAACAAACGCACTTTTATTGTATAATTAAATTAAATTATATAATTAAATTGATAAGTATGAAAATGTTGCAATAAAGTTTATGAGTGTAATGATAATTGTACGAAAAACTTATTTTAAGGAACTAGAGAGGACTTGATTTCCCCATAACATTTTAGAAAAGCTATACGTAATATAAGAATATTTTCGAATAAAGTGGAAATTAAATGTAGCCCATAAATTATTTTTTTCTAGTTACATTCATCAAGGGTCGTCCATAGTCCAAAATAGTAACATGTCAATTTCCTATATCTTATCATCAATGTCTAAAAATCACTACAACATTTAATTATAAAAAAAGTAAATTTGTTATTATATATTTAAACTGAGATAGTGTTTAGACATTACTATTTTCAGTAGCGTAGACTATTATTAAAAAAAAAAACCCAGCACAGATAAAAATTATTATTTTTTAATATTCTCTTTTTCATTCGATATACTTTATCTTAATCAGGATATTAATAAGAAACTAGCAGATCATGTGGCTTTTGGAATAATTCACCAATTTTTTAAAATTAAACACTATCTAAAGATTTGCATCGAAGCGTTTTTTTTTTTGACAGTGATTTTAATCACTGCCAGATATCATTATACTTGATCCATCTATGCCACGTCACCACTGTGCCGCGACACCCCTGTGCTGGGTTTTTTAGCCTTATTCTTGTAAACAAAAATTTATGAATCAATGTCGGTTTTAAAAATAAATATTTAATGAGTTGCATGGATTTCAATATATGTATTGAGTATGTAGCGCAAGTGGGTGAATCCCGTACTCGGAACATATACTCTGTCCGCATTTCATATCCAGTCTATATAAGTAATACTTGTAATTAAAAAAACCCAGCACAGGGGGGTCGTGGCACAGTGGTGACGTGGCATAGTTGGATCAAGTATAATGATATCTGACAGTGATTAAAATCATTACAAAAAAAAAACGCTTCGATAAAAATCTTTAGATAGTGTTTAATTTTAAGTAATTGGTGGATTATTCCAAAAGCTACATGATCTGTTATTTTCTTATTAATATCCTGAATGAAAAAGGGATTATTAAAAAATATTATTTCTCATAAAAAAATTGTGTTGATCCATACACTTTTCAATAAGTTATAGCATTATAAAGTTGAAAATGTAAAAAATAAGATAAAGAATTTTCACACGGAAATAGCATTCGGTAGCCATTTTCATCGTGAAGACAAAATAAAGTCCGAAATTTTTTTTCTGCATAATAAATTACATTACATTAGCTTTAATTTAAGATATATATAAAAGTGTCAGACTTTCCGGAACATTTTCAAAAGTCAAGTTGAAAAAGTTCTACTTTCTCTATGCATTTTTATGTTTTAAAACCCCTCTGTATTAAGGAAAATGGTCCGATTTAAAAAACAAGTATGTCAAATTAAAGAGGTATATAAATATTATTTCTCATAAAAAAATTGTATTGATCTATACATTTTTCAAAGATTTATAGCGTTATAATGTTAAAAATATAAAAAAGAATTTTTTTCCAAAAATCGTATTTTTTTTTATTAAGTTTGATGACTGTTTTCATCATGAAAACAAAATAAAGTGCGAAATTTTTTTTTCCATAATAAAGTACATTACATTAGCTTTAATTTAAGATATATATATAAGTGTCAGTATTTCTGGAACACTTTCAAAAGTTAAGTTGAAATAGTTAATTTTTTGTGAAAAAGTTTCATTTTGAATCCTCCCCTGTGGGCTGGTGAGGGTTAAATTTATAAAAAAATATACCAAATGATAGGTAAAGACATCAAGCATCCATAGAAAAAAAATTATATTGATTTGTTCATTTTTGAAAAAGTTATGGCAGTTTTAAATAAAAAAAATTTCGAAAATTTCGAAAATTAGCGATTTTTAAGTTTGTAATTTTTTTGGAGGTTTCCCCCATTTACGGGGAACGTGGGAAATTTTTTCAATTTTTGAGGGTAATGTCTTTGATTAGATACGATTTGTGATCTTTTGACGTATCATTGAAAGAAATCGGTTCGGTGAGAGTTGAGAAAAAGTGTTAACAGACACATAAAAAAAACAAAATTAATACCTTCCCAGCTTCTCATCGAAGCTAAAATTGTAATAATTATTTTTTGAAATGTTCTTGGTAATTTCCTAAATGATATTAGTGTTATAGCTAATATAAATGTTAAACATTAACAAACAATGAGTAGTAGATGGACTGTTTTTCTATTAAATTTGTATATTTGAAATTATTGTTAGCATTTTTGTTTGTTTTTGATATAAATGTATTTTATTTAAGATTTCTGGTTAAATTATTAAAAAGACTTTATGATAATAAAAACATTATTTCAAAAATTCAAGTTTGTTTACATAAAGATTTACATTATGTTTTATATTGACATTACATAAAGATTATGAAATAAACTAACAATTTTCGAATTTAATACATAATAAAGTAATTTTTTAGGTCTAAAGTTTATCCGCCGATTCGCTAAAAGACTAAATTAATACAGCCTTAACGAACAAAACAATCGTGATGAATAATTGTTAATTTTAAAACAAAACTTACTCTGAAGATTAATTTAAAGTTAAAAACACATATAATAAAATAGAAAAAACTCAACTTTTGACACAGTAATTAGTGTAATATGAAATGCTTATATATTTTTAAAGACAATAAGTTTTTTGTTCTTTAGACAACTTTTTAAGATCCTTATTCTGTTAATTTTCTGTAATTCCATTTGTTATGATGTTATTATAATGATTATTCTTAAATGTATACTCATGCAAACGCTATCGAAGTAGAAAATAATATTATTATCTCTACGAAGTTGAGTATAATGACTTAACCGGGTGGAATGAACTTTTCAACAAGTCCCTTGTTTCCACTATATGAAATTCAATCTAGGTCTATTGCTCTGAAAATGACATTGTAAATTTTCATTTCATCTAAAAAGTCGTCTGGGAAAAAGAAATTACAGTCAGAAAATTCTGCTCGAGTATCATTTAGAGGAATTTCATTAAGTCTGTAATAATCGTTTGTATACACAAGCCTTGAAGAATATAGCTCCTTAAACGCCACAATGTAAATGTTAAATACTAGAGTATTGTGTTTATAAAAATACCCATTAGTTCCTTAAATAATATTGAAATG